TCTCTTGAGCCTCGAAAGCAGACAGACTCTGTGCGCCGACCGAGAAGACGTCAACGGCTGGAGGTTCCCACAGCTTGCGTCCGTCGGTGACCTCCTGGGTCGCCCAAGCGGCCTCTCGAGGTCACCGGCTTTCGCTCTCTCTCTCTCTCTCTCTTTCTCTCTCCCTCTCTCTCTCTCTCGTCCTGCCATTTTTCCTGCCTTCTGTTGCAGTCCTATCGCCTTTCTGTCGTCTTTGCTGTTTGCTAATCAGGGAGGCCCGCGGCATCAAGAAAATGCACCTAGGAGGCTGTCCCAGATGCCCTTGGCAGCGCTTGGTCCCCTAGGATTCCAATTGGGGCGCCACTGGGCAGCCAAGAGGGCCCAAGAGGCCTCCACGAAGGTCCTGAGGACGGGCCCCTGGTCCCAGAACAGCCCTAAATTTCTCAAGGATGCCTCGCAGACATCCCAGGAGGGCCCAAAAAACCTTAGGAGGCCCCAGGACGCCCCCAAAGGCCCCAGACCTTGCCGAGCATGAGCACCCAGATGAGGGGCGGGTGGCTGGTGTCGACTCGAAGCCCGAGGCGACTGAGCTGCTGTCGTGCGGCTCCAACCCAAGAGTGCAGCACATGCATGGAATACTCCCCAATCAGAGCTTGCCTCTGTAGGGGTCCTAGTGGACTCATTTGGTTCGGCGGGTGCTCGTGTGCCCAGGTGCCTGGGTGCCTGGGTGCCCCGTAGCCCTATAACCCTATAGCCCTATAGCCTTATAGCCCTATAGCCCTATAGCCTCATAAGCCCGACAGCCCTATAGCCCTAATAGCCCAATAGCCCTATAATGACCTTACAGCCATATAGCCCTATAGTCATATAGCCATATAGCCCTATAGCCCCAGAGCCTTATAGCTCTATAGCCCTACAGCCCTGTAGTCTCATAGCCCTATAGCCTTAAAACAAATATGATTGGGTTTTGTTTCTCTGGTAATATGTTTCTGAACCTCGCTGAAGAGAGTCTGTGGAGGCTTCGGAACCTGGGGCACTTCGGATGAGAAGGCAACCCGTTGTCCTTGAATGGGGTCGTATACGGCTTGATGCCCACGAAGTTGCTTGTCTGGTTTGTCCTTGTGGATGGTACTAATGGGATGGTTTGTGCCGCTTGTTGAACGCATCAGCAAGTAAGGTTTCTTGCAAACAGAGCCTCGCTCGTCAGTTTACTCTCCACCCTGAGTGTCGAACGCCTCGGTAGTTTGGCTTGTGGCTACGCGCTGCAACAGGAAAACTGTTGCCTCCTCTCTCCTCACTGCTTCGTCTCCCCTTCCTACCACGTGCAAGGAAACAACCGGCTCCTATGGCAGCGATCAGCTGCTTCGCCTTCTCTTCGGCCAGCGCGCAGTGCGTTGCCTGCTCGCGCTCACACGCATCATGCCGAAGGTGACAACACAAGCCGTCGCGACACGCCATCCCACCTCCGCCGCCCTCCTCCTCCTCCTCCTCCTCCTCCTCCTCCTCCTCCTCCTCCTCCTCCCCGCCCACCCCCTGCTTTCCCTGCTGGCCCCTGCTCCTCCTTCTGCGGAAGAAGTCCACCACCACGTGCGCCACTACGCCTCTATGAGGCGCTAGACAGCTGGCTGGCAACCTGGAATACCGTGGGCGTCGCTTGAGGGGGGGCGATGACTTGGGGGAGGGAAGAAAGGTGCACTACTCGGGCCCTGAAGGCCCCCCCTGGGGGCCCTGAAGGGCTCCTTTTCTGCAGCCCTCGCTGCCCCCTCCAATTGATCGTCCGCCCATCTTCACGACGCACACGTGCCGAATCGTGCTCGTGGGCCGGGCCTGGCGGGCGATCGCCAGACCTCCCGGCATCGCTATACAGCGGCGAGCTTACACCGTGGTCGCCACCTGGCATCCGAACGCGCGGCGGCGGTCGGAGGCGTGGCGGTCCCGGTGCCTGCGGCCCAACCTTGCAGTCGGACCGAGGTAGAAGGTCGAGGTCGGCTCGGGGAGGGTACCCCCACGTTCTTCGTGTTCGTTGGATGTTCTTGCGCATCCTGGGGGAGGGTATTTTCGAGTGTTCTTCGGTTCCGCGCTTTTGTTCGCTCGTTCTGGTCAGGCTGGGGTTTGGGGCTCATGATTCGCCTACGCGTGTTCGAGGAGTCGGCAGGGCCCTTCCGCGTTCAGGCACACGCGCATGAGGTTGCCGATTCCTAGGGAATGAGAGCGGCGGGTCTGTACTTGGAGCATACCTGCAGCGGCGGTGGCGTGACCCCCTGCAGCACGAGGGGGCACCCCACCTTGCGGTAGAAATCATGACCGTCGGTTACCCAACAAGCTGATCCGCAATTCAGCTGACTCAACGCTCATTGCCTACCTCAACGCGCACCACACTTGAAAACGGCATCCGCGAATAACTCTCATTCGCTGGTCCCTTGACCTACCGGATATCATGATTATATATCTGAGATGGACGTTGTTTTTTGAAGACGAACGGAATCAGTGGAGATACGGAGGCCAGATGAGGCCTCGCCCAGGGTAGTGGAGGAAGCGGTGATCGTAAACAGTACATGTTTTAGGACACGGCGGAACGCGATCATTCCAACCGACACGCCCAACCACACACGCTCATCCTTCATGCCAGGGGGCATGACTGAAGTGAGCGCGCGCGTCCACTCGCTAAGCTTCATGCCCAATCCATGCACAATGCCGCGCAAGCAGATGAATGTAAACTTCGACAGGCCCCCTAGCATTGGCGAGTTCACCCAAGTGGTGGACAACAACCATTTGCAGACCGCGGCCTATGATGCTGACAACTGCCCGCTCATAATGTCTGACGCATTTGTTCGATGCTAGGAACACAAGCTTTCATGTTTATTCCGATAACCCACAAGCGTTCAAATATTTGGATATGCGAGCGAGCGCGTTGCCAACGTGGCATCATTTCAGACATAATCATACAAACGATCAAAACGTGCCCGCCGAGTGATTCCACTTACGAGCGGAAATGTCTGCGCCCCGAGTTATGACATCACACATTAAATCCTGGATGCATGTGAACACACAACGCGCAATGCCGTGCTGGATCCCGTCGCGTCGAATGCAATGAGTTCACATGCGGGGTGGGCGCTGGGCGCAGAACGTATACGAAATCGTAATGGAACGTGCGGGGGTGGGGGGGTCGAGGGGGGCGATCGGGCTCGGTCTGGGAACGAAGGGCGAGCAGTTTGGTTGTAAAAGATAAATACCCAAAGAGATCGAAGAGAGTGGAAGGTAATATCATATTTTAAATCGGGTACAGCATACTGACTATGCTGCCGAGATGCTGAATGCATACTGACTATGCTGCCGAGATGCTGAATCAGACCCGCCCACTTGCCCCATAAAACAAAACCCGGCTCCTCCGTAGCCCTTGCAAGGCAAGACCCCTCCATCATACCAGAGGGCGTGACTGCAGTGAGAAATAATCTTCTACGCAGCACAACTTGCCCCATCCCATCCCAAGTCGGCGCGACGCCAGCTTCGACGATATCCTCATCATCTACGACATCATCCAAGAACTGAGTGGCAAACCGTAATTATTCAGTCTCGTCGGGGTGGTCTCGAGCAGCCATCATGAGGCAGTCACGGGTCGTTTAATTTCGAAGATGACGAGGGAGAGGTGGAGGACAGAGGGGGCCAGCGAGCGGGGGGGGGGAACAAGGAGGAAGAAAGAGGGAAGGGGCTCTTGGGAGTTCATGTTTGACCGCCAGAGGCCGCCCCCGCGACTCCCTGGCCCCACTCCTGTGCCAATGTCGCGACGGAGAAGGAAGGGAGCAGCCGAAGCTCAAAATTGTTTGCTTTTCAGGCCGAACTTGCCTGTGTGAGTCGGGCCCTCCTCCTCCCCGCCGTATTCTCCAGGCCCGCCCAAAGGGAAGCTGGCCACAACCCCTTTCTCACCCTCGTCTGCCATCGTGCCGCAAGCACCAGGTGGCGTGTCCTGAGGTCCGCCGCGGTCTTCACTGTTGAATGCTGAAGACAGTATGGCGGATCCCCGAAACCCTGAACCCAAAAACGTTTTCATATCTTGGGGACGCATCCTTTGCTTGCGCCGCCTTCCGCCAACCTTCCGCTGGCTTCCGCTGGCGGAGGCGGCCTCGCTTTATTTCCGCCGCCTTCCGCTACCCTTCCGCCGCGGAAGAGATGGACCCCTTCCGATCCTCGAAGACAAGGCCCTTTTTGGAACGTCTCATATGTTGAATGCTCCAGGCAATGCCAAGGGGGGTCGCCACCAGGAAGGTCGCCACCTCGTCGAGGAGGCCAACCCCTCAGGATCCCCAGAGCCCCAAAGAACCTTCCCAAGCGCCCCAAATCGTCCAACATCTCGGCCCTTTGATCCTCGAAATTCGACCCCCAGGAGGAACTGATGACCTCCCATACCGGTGATCTCCCTTGGCACTCCCTGAATGCTTATGGGCTCAAGCTCAGGACCGCTGATTTCCGGGCTGACTCTGGCGCTCTTAGCCGCTCTCGCGCGCACCCCGGGTGCCCCGCAAGACTTCTCCAGGTGTCTGGGACACATGGTCCGGAATGCAGACTTCCAACATGCTCTCAGACGATCCCACGGGCCCGTCCTGTGGCTCTCTTGGGGGTCTATCGGGCTGCAGTTGAGGCCCTCACGGCCAGCCCCAAGAGCGCCAAATCACAGAAGTCCTTTCGCGTGGTGTATACAAGATCGCCCGTTTGGTCTCGAGAGCGCCCAAGACGGCCCAACAGTACCTCAAGATTTCCCAAAGACGGCTCCCGAGGCTCCCCCAGAGGTGCCCAAGAACCCCCCAGGAGAGAAAAAACACGCCACCGCCATACCGCTGGAAGTCTCTCCTCCGACATGGGCCCCGGATCACCAGAGGTTTGAGAGGCGTCCCAGATGCCTCAAGGACGGACCGAAGAGGTTCCCACGAGGCTCCAAGGAGGCCCCCACGGGACCCCAACGAAGCCCCCCGGGAGAGTCACACTGGGCCCAGGTCCTGGGAGGCCACAGTGCTCCCGACAACGTTCCCGCTGCGCTTCGCACCCACTGCCCATGTACGGTGGCAGGAATTGGCCGAAGGCCACCAATTAGATATAGCGATGCCGAGGAAGATAACGATGATGATAAAGACGGGAACGATTGCGCACAGATGTTTCCAGACCTCGAGAAACACGGCAGCTATGGGCTACGGGTCGGGCCACTCGGTGTCTACCCCGTATTATGATAAATCCGCCGACCCCCTGGGGTCATCGGCGTGTGAGATGCTTCCCCCCTCCCCAAACCCCTCCCCCTGGAGCCCGGTCGAGGTCGGTTTGGAGGGCGGGGGGTCCGGCCAGCCCCGGCTGAATGCGTCACGGGCCTCACAACGGGCCAAGAGGGCCCCAAGAGGCCCACAAGATGGTCCAAGAGAGCCCCGAGTCGCCAATGGATCGTTCCAAGACGCCAAAGATGCCCCCCAGGCGGCCCAAGAGGCCCCCGAGGCGCCCCACCAGAAGCAAACATCGTCCCATTCCCTGAAGGAAGCGTCTGATTTTGGCAAATTCGTCTCTTGGGCTTTCACAACGTCCAAGACGGCCCAAGAGGCCTCCAAGATCGCCCCAGGACGGCCCAGGAAGCCCCCAAGAAGGCTCTAAGACGGCCCAAGAGAGCCCCAAGACGGCCCAAGAGGCCCCCAAGGCGTCTCGAGGAGGGGACCCAGGCGGGGGACCCGAACGGAAATTTCGAGCCCTCGGCTCCAAGAAGCCTCCAGAGGGGCCCGAAAAGGCCCCAAGAAGCCCCCAAGAGGCTTCAAGAGCCCCACCAGAGGCCCAAAAGAGGCCCCCAAAAGGCTTCAAAAGTGCTGCCAGGAGGCCCCCGAGAGACCTACCAGGAGCCCCCCAAGGGGTCGGCGGTGCGGCGTAAGCCCAAGAATCGTCGGACGTAGTGAGGGTTAGGGAAGCCAGGCTTAGGGAACGCCCGGCTTGCAGCTAGAAGCATGGGACTTAGGAAAACTTGCCAAGCGCGACAGCTGCAGAAGCCTCCAGTATCAGAGCGAGAGAGGGAGAGAGGGAGAGAGAGAACGGGGGCGCAACGAGCAGGTGATAATCGGCCACCGTGGAGGCCGTGTGCTTGCCAAACACGGTGCCGCATTCTTTGGCCATCACGCAGGCTGCTTGAAGCTACTGCCGTAGACCTTCTCCTTGCTCTGATCTCCCGAGAACAGGAAGAATCCGAAGGGATTGCTCTCTGGGACGGCTCCGACTGCCTGATGGAAGCGCTCCTCTGCCATCGTCCGCACACTCCCAGACACCCGACGTCATGATTTTTTCGTAAAGTCGACCCTGGAGGTCTCGACCCATTCCCAGGGACCGGTTTTTTCATCCCAAGTCTGACTACCTACCAAACCACCCCAACCCAACCCGAAGACTCGAATTTCGGGTTGGGGGGGGGGGTACGGGCTTCATGTGTGTGTGTGTGTTTTTCAATGTTCCCAGATCCCACACTGGAAATGGAGGGCAAATCGGGTCCTTCGGGTTGGGGTGGCTTGGTGGGTGGTGAGAACCGTTTTCGGACGGTCCCGGGGCCCGAAGCTGGGCCCCCGGGAGGCCGAAGACAGCGAAGGGCCTCCCGCCGTGATGTTTGTCGTGGCCCGACGGGGTCTGGGCGCCTTCCCCCCCCTTGGGAAGAGGGTGGGGTGGCGAGGGTCGAAGACCGGAGCATCTACACGACCAATGGCGGGCCGTTTCTCAATCCCAGCACTTTTTGAGGGTTGGGGGGGCGACGTCGCGGTGGTGTGGTGCAGATCAGGGGCGTTCCAGAAGGGCGCGCCCAAGAGGGGCTGGGCGCAAATCATGGCTGGCGGCATGTGCGCGGCCCAGGGGGGGTCCAGGAACGCATTGAAATCAGAAGAGCCGCCATTAAATCTGGGGAGGTATCATGGCCCCCGCCATGATATCCCCCCCTAGTCATCACCCCCCTCTTGGCCGCCCCCGAATATGCTTTTTTCCTCGTTCGCCCCGGGGAAACAACGAAACATGTATACACCAGGATTCCGTATACACCAGGATCCGCTTCCCTGTGCAAACGTCAGTGCAGGGCCGCAAGAATCGTCGGTGTATAGGGTTCGGTTCCCTAGATGGGAGGGGGATGGCCAAGCCTTGACTCGCAGACGAGGGCGGAGGCAGAAGGAGGGAACGAGATCCGCCGGCACCCCTGAGGGGGCCAACGTGCTGCCAGGACTCGGCTTTTCTATTCCCTGCGCCAGTGTCAGTTCTCAAGCTTCAGCGATCGATTTTCTCAAGTTCCAGTCTTGTAATGACTGAAGTCCGTGCGAGGGGTGGGGGACGAAAAGGGCCCGCTGACCACACCAGAATCACGTTGACCGAATGGATGAATGCCCTGAGACAAAATAACATACTGCAGATTCGCATTCACACCTGAGGCCACTACCCCTTCCTATAAAAGAACCAACGTACGCGGTAAATGACGGTGCGTTCGCGCTCCCGATGTACAACTCTCCGTGGCAAGTTACGACCAATTTGTCCCCGAGGCTACGTGCCCACCCCGCGGAGGCTGCCCAAAAAGTGCCCCCCCCCCCCCCCCCCCCCCCCTCTCCAGAGCAGAAACATTCCCCAATCAGAGCTTGCATCTATAGGGGTCCTAGCGGATTCATATGGTTAGATTAGGTTTGCCGCCGATTTTCGCGGCACGCCCGGGTGCCCGGGTGCCCGGGAGTGCCCGGGTGCCCGGGCGTGCCCGGGCGTGCCCGGGGGTGCCCGGGTGCCCGCCCGGTAGCCCTATAGCCTTATAACCCTAGAGCCTTATAGCCTTATAGCCCTAGCCCTATAGCCCTCTAGCCCTATAGCCCTAATAGCTTTATAACCCTATAGCCCTAATAGCTCCATAGCTTTATACCCTTATAACCCTATAGCCATATAGCCCTATAGCCCTTCAGCTCTCTGTAGCCCTCTAGCCCTATAGCCCTATGACCCTGTAGCCTTATAGCCCTATAGCCCTATAGCCCTTTAGCCCCATATTATTTAAACAGATGATGGTTGGTTTTTCTCTGGTATCATGAAATTCTATGTGTTTCCCCAATCAGAGCTTGCCTCTGTAGGGGTCCTTGTATGGTTAGGTTAGGTTTGCCGCCGATTTTCGCCGCACGCCTGGGTGCCTGGGTTCCCGGGGGTGCGGAAGCTGCCCAAAAGTGCCCCCCCCCTCCCCCCCCCTCCAGAGCAGAAACATGTAATTCTATGCGTTAGGATTTCAAACCGCGGAGCGCTTTTCGATCCTCCCGCCGTGTCCCAGAACTCAGCGCTGGGCCCCCGAGGATACAATCCCTTGCAACTCAAACCAAGTTTGCGCCCCCGAGGGCCCAGCCCCTTACCAACTAAGATTCTATCCGCGCTCCCGGAGCCCAAACCCTTGCAGATTACTGCGCGCTCGCGCTCCCGATGGCCCAGTCCCTGATCAACCACAGGCGTTTCGTGCCCCCGAGGCCACACTCTCTGGCACATTACAGCACCTCCGCGCTCCCGAGGCCGCGGCCCCCTTTCGAACACCACGCTGGCCTCGCGCTGCCGAGGGCACGGGTCTCCAGGAAGAGCAGGCATCCTGGACTCGCGCTCCAGAGGCCACCCGGGGCCCCATCCCACACGAGGGCCATCGGCTGACTACCTGATTACCAGACCACCCCAACCCAACCCGACGACCCAAATGCCGGGTTGGGGGGGGTACGAGCTTCATAAGGTTTTTTCATTGTCCCCCCCCACTGGAAATGGAGGCCAAATCGGGGCTTTCGGGTTGGGTGACGTGGTTTGGTGGGCGGTGAGGGGCGAGAGGGATGGCCTCGGGGCCCACGGGGAGGGAGGGCGGAGCACTTCCCCTGCCAGGCGGGAGGCCCCCAGAGCCCGGGGCCGCGCTCCCTTGCAGATCTCACGGCGCGCCCGCGCTCCCCAGGCCACGAGCTTGCCTGCCACGGAAGCCGCCCCAAGGCGCCCCCCCTTCGGAAATCGAAGATCGAGGAGGAGGAGGAAGAGGAGGAGGAGGAGGAGAAGGAGGAGGAGAGGAAGAGGAAGAGGAAGAGGAAGAGGATGAGGAGGAGGAGGAGGAGAAGGAGGAGGAGGAGGAGGGGGAAGGAAACTCGAGGACAAGAGAGGTTGTGCACGTCTGGGGGGGCGTCTTTGGGAGGCCTGGGGCGTCCCGCGGGACCCGCTGCCTCGCGGAGCCGCCCCTCTCCCGAACAGAGCACCGCAGCTTTCTGCTGGGCTGCACACCGTATGCTCGCGGGGCGCTCCTTTCGCTGGCGCTCCTTTCGCTGAAATCGGGCATGTCCCTCTACAGGAGGACATTACGTCCCGCTTAAATATGACCTGCCTTATGTTCGGTTATTATGCTTACTTTCTGATATTTTTAATTCTGTCGCCCAAAGTCCGCCTGTGGGAGGACATGCCCGACCCTAACCTTCGACACCCCCCCCCCTCCGTCGTGTCCCCGGAACAGCTTCGGCCCTGGAGCAAAGGCGACGGACCCTCGAAAGTCCGCCGGCTCCCGCTGGTCGGGGGGGGGAGGCGTGCGAGACATTTGGCCGTCGGAGTCCGCCCCTCTTTTTCCTGCCCCCCCCCCCAGGGTCCAGAGTCTTGTTCGAGGGGGGAAAGGGAGGGAGGGGGGGGGGGCCAGGCTCCCAGGCGCACCCCTGCCTCTGGAGCCTCCGAGATCTACACTCCGTGGCCTCCGAGATGCCCAAGATGCGATCCAAGCCGCGAAACACAGGCTGGGCTCCTGCACGCGGAGCGAGTGTCAGAGACATCGAATATGGCCTGCAGGTGGCCCAAGAGGCCTCGAGGACTCCCCGGGAGAGCTCCAAGGGGACCCAAGAGACCGCCCTAAGAAGCAACAACCGCCCCAGTCCCCAGGAAAACGTGCACGTCGGTTTGGACACATAGTTAAAAACATGTAATAGTAGGGTAGATTGGGTCCAAGCCCTCCCAGATAATAACAACACATACCGATAGCATATTGAGTCTTGAAGCAGGGAGGCGTATGACGTAGAATGGGATCCCAGTATCCAAAAATACGTAGCACCCCGATGTCGCGGGTAAAAATGAGGGGGCGGCGGGGACGTCGGCAGTCTGAGAGGCTCTGAAGAAGCTCGACGCAGGCAGCTAAATTCTACGATTTAACTTTGCAGCGAGCCCGCCGCAAGTGCCGATTTTTCGATAAAGAAATGTGGGTCGCGTGTGGGTCGCATGTGGGTCGCGGGCTGGGTCGCGGGTGGGTCGCGGGTGGGTCGCGGGCGGGGCGCGATGTGGATCGCGGGTGGGTCGCGGGTGGGTCGCGGGGTGGGTCGCGGGATGGGTCCCGGGTGGGTCGCGGGCCGGGTCTAGCACCGGGGCCACGTAGGGTAGCGAGGGGGCCAAAAAGGGCGACAACGGAGCCACGAAGGGCATGCATATAGAGCCACAATTGTGGCCCCTGCTCGTTCGCGCCCCGTTAACGGGGCGCGAACGAGCAGGGGCCACGAAGGCCATACGTATGTTGGGCCGCTGAAGGCAAGGACGGGGCCACTGAGGGCAGCAACGGGGCCACGAAGGGCAGCGAGGGGGCCACGAACGGCGACAGCGGGGCCACGAAGCGCATACATATGGGGCCTCGACGGGCGCGAACGAGCAGGGGCCACGAAGGGCATACATACATGGGGCCACGCAGGGCAGCGAGGGGACCACGAAGGGCTGCAACGGGGCCACGAAGGGCAGCGAGGGGGCCACGAAGGGGTGCAACGGGACCACGAAGGGCAGCGAGGGAGCCACGAAGGGCTGCAACGGGACCACGAAGGGAAGCGAAAGGGCCACGAAGGGCTGCAACGGGGCTACGAAGGGCAGCGAAGGGGCCACGAAGGGCTGCAACGGGGCCACGAAGGGCAGCGAGGGGGCCACGAAAGGCTGCAACGGGGCCACGAAGGGCAGCGAGGGGGCCACGAAGGGCTGCAACGGGGCCGCGAAGGGCAGCGAGGGGGCCACGAAGGGCTGCAACGGGGCCACGAAGCGCAGCGACGGGGCCACGAAGGGCTGTAACGGGGCCACGCAGGGAAGCGAGATCCCGATTCCTAGGTCAGCTGTGATGGAGTCCTAAGCGTGAGCGCGACTCCTGGGTGCCTGAGTGTCGGGAGCACGGCGCTTGAGTAAATTGCAAGGAATTCCAACGCAAGAGCGTGATTCTTGAGTAGATTGCAAGCAAGTCTCCAGCGAAAGCCTGACTCCAGAGCGCCGAGAGAGCGATGCCTTAATAAAGTGTAAGGTAGTCCCAAGCGAGAGTGCGAGTCCTGAGTAAAATGCGTGGAGGTCTCAGGCGGGAGCGGGGGTCCTGGCTGAATTGTGAGAAAGTCTCAAGCGGGAACCGTTGTTGTTGTTGTTGTTGTTGTTGTTGTTGTTGTTGTTGTTGTTGTTGTAATCCAGGGGCCAACAACACAGTTTGAGCCCCGTGACGTTCCCTGATCAAAAACAGGGTGCGAGCCCCTGAAGAAACACGTCAATAAAAAACACAATGGTCACCGGAGGGGGGATCAACAATACTTATTCCTCAGTAGTGAGAGTTCAATAAGAACAACAGCACCAACAACAACACCACCACCACCAACAACAATAATAAACCACATCGCGGAATCCCACTTCAGCCACGCACCCAGGGACAGTGCATGACCGTTCGGCTCCCTCACTCTGTTTTATTTTCAACGGCCAGCGTGCACACGTTGGCACATGAGCATTTTCCATCGTCGCGGCGTCCAAGGCCCATGGGGCCCCCAAGAACGCTCCCAGACAGTTCCAGAAGCCCCCCCAAGGGCTCAAAATAGCCCCCAGAGGGCCCCAAGAAAGCCCAGAAGATGTCCAAGACGGCCCAAGATCGCCCGGGTGCCCCCAACCCCAAATAGCCCCATAGGGCCCTAACAGTTTCAGAAGCTCCCAAGCAAGTGCCCAAAACAACCCCCAGAGGGCCCCAAGACGGCCCAGAATATGCCCAAGACGGCCCAAGACCGCCCCAGGAGTACCCCCAAAGTAGTCACTCGAACTGACCCTTCGAGGCCCCCGCCTCGGAGGATCCCCGAGGAGGGCCCCCGAGACCGCCGACAGGAGCCCCACAACAAAAACAAGAATACTCACTACGACGACGACGACGACGACGACGACAGGCCACCTCGGCGGCGGCGACCGCTTCCATCGCGGTGGCACCCATCCCCCCCCCAACCCAGGAATTTGCCCCAAGAGGCAGCAGTCATCCCCATCCACTCGGAAGACGCCTGTCGTTTCGGCACACGAGCGTCCAAGACGACCTCAGGAGGCCCTGAAGAACGCTCGAAACATGGCCCCAGGCGCCCCTAAGAGATTCGCCCGGACACGTTGAGCCCCCCACGCCTAAGAGGACCCCCGAGACCGCCGTCAGGCGCCGCGCAACAAAACAACAAAAACGTCAAGAGGCCTTCGAGACGCCCAAGGGCTCCCAAGAGAGCGCTCCAAGAGACGCAAGTCGTACCAATCCGGTTGGAGAACATGTAGTTTTAGTATACTCGTCTGCTGTTTGCCTTCACAGCGCAAAAGACGGGCTAAAAGGCCCCATCAGCCCCCCAAGGGCCCCACGACAACCCAAGAGGGCACGAGATAATCCGAGAGCTCAATGACTGAAGGCGCCCGAGCCTGGGAGACACTTGCACCTGCCGCAGAAACCATTATCCTCTCGTACCAACACCACGGTTTTTCGACACGCGCCGAACGTCATCGCTCCAGCTAAGAGCAGAAACTGCCGACCACCCTGGACTTCCTCGTCTTCCTGGAAGGCCGGCGGAATGGTGTAAGCCTCTTGAATTAGAGGTGCACGCTTCCGAAACCGCGGCCCCCGAGGCCAACATCCGTACTTCGTTTCCACAGGCGCGCGCCACCAGCCACCCAACAAACAGCCCAAATCAACTGCCCACCCGCAATCTAAACAACAAGCGAATCAGCCGAATGGCCAGCCAGCCGGCCGACAGGGAAACCGACCAACCTACCGATCAGCCGTGGCCACGCAAGCAGTCTGAGAGGGGGGGGGGCGGCGGCAGAGGGCGAAGTCCTTCGGATGAGGGGGGATCGAGCAGGGGGGGGGGGGAGCGGGAAGGGCTGGGAAGGAGGAGGAGGAGGAGGAGGAGGACGAGAAGGAGGACGAGGAGGAGGAGGAGGAGGAGGAGGAGGAGGGGGAAGCGGGAGGAGGAGGCACCCCAAATTTCAGACTCATCAGCCCAGGCCTTGAGCGCGGGTTCCAGCTCGCCAGACTCGTACAGCGGCAGCAGCCCCGGCGTCCCCTCCTGTGCTCGTTTCGCTGCGAGTTTCCAACGGGGAAAGGGCAGGATACTGGTGAGGAAGACGGGGAAGAGAACATGGACGGCAAGGAGGAAGATGAGGACGAGGAGGAGAAGGAGAATAGTATGGCGGTCGAGAAAAAGGAGAGATGAGAAAGAAAAGGAGGAGAAGGACCAGGAAAAGAAGGAGGGAGGAAGGAGGATAAAAGAGAGGATGTAAAGGAGAAGGAGGAGGGGGAGGAGGAGGCGGAGGAGGAGGAGGTGAAGGAGGAAGAAGAGGAGGATATTGCAAGAAGAGAAAAGGAAATATGAGGAGGAACCGGATGTTGGTAATGATGATATCGATGTTGGTAATGATGATATTGATGATGATGCTGGTGATGCTGATGGTGATGATGATGCTGATGTTGTTGTTGATGGCGATAATGATGGTGGTGATGACTCGGATGATAAGAATGATGATGCTGATGATGATGATGATGATTATGATGATGACGATGAGGAGGAAAGGACGACGACGGCAATGCGGAAGGAAAGGAGAGGGAGAAGGAGAGGGAGGAGGACGACGACGACGACGACGAGGCGGGGGACAAGGGGGGGGGGGAGGAGGGGAGGAGGGGGGTGTCAAAGCCCTCCCAATACCCCTCGGCCGCCCAACGGGCTTTTGCCAAATCCGGCTTCCGAGAGGCCGCCGATGCTCCGGCCGCCCATAAAGATGTGCGGCATGCTGGTCCGCCCGAAGATCCTTCCTGGGGGGAGGACGTGCAGGGGGAGGGGCCGGGAAAGGTTAGGGGCCGGGAGGGGGGGAAGGGCACCGGGCAGGGGGGGCGGCAGGCGAGGGTGAAGGGAGTTCGATTCGACCAAAGCGCGCATTGGTTAGCTGCTCTCGGCACCCTCGGGGTTGCAAGCCGATGCGTCTTGCCATTGCGAATCGATCGGTGTCACTGCGAGCTCGGCAGCTGCTGTAACTTCCATGGGCGCGCAAACATGGATTAGCGATCCATGGATTCGGCGCGCGGTCGCCAAATCCATGGATCGGGGGAGGTGCCTTCCCCAAAATGTGGCCGGTGCCGCCTCGTTCGGCGGCGGAAATTCGCGATTTCCCATGGAAACGGGACCCGTCGCTAATCCGCGCCCCTCTTAGCTGCCCCGATACGCAACACGCAACACGTAGCGTATTGATACGGAGCTCAACACATAGACTGAACATGTACGTTTCGAACACGGACGTTTTGAACACGGCACGTAATACGTTTCAAAGCGTGCGTATCAGAGCAGCTAAAACGTCCCCTTGATCCATGTTTGCGATCGCCTGATGCTTTCGCGGTCAAGCCGAACCACCCGCCGAGCAGCTCGATGGGGCGAGCGGCGCCGGATGGGCGCACGCCGCCTCCACCTCGCCCTGGCTCTCGCGCACACGCGTGGCTCCTGCTCCCCCCGCCTTGCTCGCTCCCGCTCCTCCCTCCCTCGTCCCCGGCACCGGCTCAATCCGAGCCCGCGAGCTCGCCACGAGCCAGCGCCGCGGGCGCCCTGGCGTCGCCCTCGACTCCCCACGCCTCGCCTTTCCCCCCCTCTCGGGTCGGGCGAAAGGGGGGGATAGCAAAGAGGGGGTTTGAGAACCAGCTCACGCAGCTGATTTTCCTGGCGCCTCCCGGCGCCGGAGGCGGCCATGTATCGAGGAATGGGCCCCTCGGTGGGGCCGAAACCAGCTGCTTGCAGCAGATTTCGTACCCCCCCCTTCCTCGATTCCCCCCTTTCGTTCGGCCCGACCCTCGTCTCCCCGCGCCTCGCCTTCCCCCCCCTCGCCGCGGGCGATGGAGCCGCGCCCAGTGCGGCAGCCTCGCTGGCCGAATTCAGCACCGGGCCCAGTGCAGCCGTGCCGACGTGCGGACTGCTGGGCGGCTGCGGAAGGCGTTCGCCGACCTCGAGCGCCACCGCGGCCAGGGCCCCCGCGGTCTGGCCCAGGCACTGCGAGACACTGGCGGGCGCGCCTGCAGATGCGGCCGAGCATGTCACGCAACGCAAGGGTGCATTACCAACACAGTCGGCGATTGTGCATTCCCGTTTGAAAAGTATGGTTTTGAAGAAATGAATATCCGAATGCTCGAAGGATGCTGCGGCGGAGGTCCCTGTCGTGCCGCCCGCAGGCATCGCCGCCAGTGTGCGTGGCAAAACTCCCGCCGATGGCCGCAGCCTCGACGCGGACTTCCTGGCGCGGGCGGCCGCTGCAGCAGCTGCCATCGAGGTCCAATTGGTGCAGCGCCGCGCCGCGGCCCGGCCCGCCAAGCGGTTAGCCGCCGCTGGAGGAGAGAGAGGCGATGGAGGGGACGGAGACGGCGCTGCGCCGAAGGCTCGGAGGCCCGTGCGGGCCGCTCCGATGCCACGAGCGCTGCCCACGGCGCCCATGGACCCCGCTGGTGTCGCGATGGCGACCGCGCTGTGGATGCAGAGGCGCTTGGGCGCTGCTTCGTACAGTGCCGCCGCCACGTCGCAGTCTCGACGCCGCCCTGGGGGAGCTCGCTGCCCTGGAAGCCGAACTCGCAGCTGCAGGACGCCCGGTCTCTCCTCGGCCTCCTGGTGCACGAGGTTTTTGATACGTATTCGTTTGGCCGCTCGCTCTTCGTCCCAAGGTGCTCCTCGGCGGTGCGTTGCCCCTTGCCGTCGCTTCGCGCACTTCTTCGCTGAGTCGCTCTACTTCGCGATGGACCCGCTGCCGTCATCAGCGAACCCGCGCCTGCGTGAGGGCTAGTACCGCTGAAAGCTCCTAGTGGGGAGCAGGGTGAGTACGCATCTTCGGGGGGTCAGTACCCCACCCGCCGCTGAGCGCTGCCTGCCCGGCGTGGTCTGGCTTCGGGGTTGGGCGTCCGCCGCTCCGACCTTCGCTTCGATCGATGGTCCTCGATGTTCCTCCCCATCCCCCCCCTCCCTCGTCCCCCCCTCCGTCGGTAGGGACTGTCAGGCCCCACCCCGCCACGTCCGCTTGCCGCTTTGGGCACCGCTGGGGGCCGCGCCCCCCCCCCCCCCCCTCAGGCAGCTCACGGACCACCCGAGACAGCTGCCTGGGGTAGGGTACAACAGTATCTGCGCACCCCTGACACTATGACGTCGAAGGCGCTACATGTATGCTACCCGACTGTTTCCTCTGGGGTCATGAGCGGGATATATCCCCTGCCAGCGTGTTGTGCCTATCAGGTGGCAATTCACATTTGCGCTGTCGCCCTCACGGGCCAAACATGCACTTCTGGCGAAGGGTTGCGCCCGCGCCGCTCAATCGTCACTCACTGTCGGTCACTGCCAACTAACCACTTGTGCCGGCGCCACGGTTCTGGCAAGGTCCGCGTCGTTCACGCGACACTGTGGGACCCCAGCACGCAGGGAAACGCATGATTGCCCAAACCGCGGTCCCGGCAAGCTCCGTCTGGCCCTGCCACTTCCGCTTGCAGCTTTGGGCGCAGGTCGTGGCTGGACCACCTCTTGCTCCCATCATCAATTTTGCCGCCTCGGCACCGCAGGGGGTCGGGGCCCCCTCGGACGGCTCCCGGACCAACGAAGACAGCTGCCTGGGTTTGCGTACAGCCGTACCTGCACACTCTTGGCGCTGTGACGTGGAAGTCGTCAGAGGCCACGTGCCCGCATATTTCCTCCTCCCGCTCCTCTTCCTCCTCTGCCTCCTCGTCCAACTTCCCCCCCGTCGTTCGCCACCTTCCCCGGCTCCTGCTTCTCCTCCCTCTACTTCCCCTAGGCCCCTTGCGGAGGGGGGTGGAATAAGGGGGGGGTGCAAAAGGGAGTGGCCTGACAAGATCCTCGTCGACCGGCTTTCGGATCGTGACTCGGAGGGTCTGCGTCGGCAGCTCAGGCCGATCCGGGCAACCCCCGAGCACTCTGGACGAGGCGCCGCTGCTTAAGGCACCCCGCGGCTGGAGAACCGCCACGAACCGTCAACCGGCGAGCAAGAAAGCCTCGGACGAGAAGCCGGCGAAGACGCACGAAGACGGACGAACGCGCCAGAGCATCGACGGGACCGCCAGAACCCGAGGAAAACGGCGCCAGGGCACGTGCGGGGCCCCCAGGTGTCCGAGCTCCGCCCGCTTGGCGGCGCCCTCCCCCAGCATCAGGAACCACTCGGGAGCCAGCACGACCTCCTTCGCGGGGCTAAGGAATATGCACCACCACCACCTCCCTCGCCCCCTCCCTCTTCCCACCAAAGAGGAAGAGGAAGAGGAGGCAAGAGGAGGGTGGAGGAACGGAGGTGGTGGTGGCGTCTATTTTTGGGGCCCGCATCCTTGTAATCGACCCCCAGGGTGTCCAGGAGCCTCACGGCCTCGGTGCAGAAGGGCGAGAGGGAGTAGGTGTAGATCACGACCGGCGCCGACCGCACCTCCTCCTCGCCATCGCTCGGACGTCCATTTCCCGTGCATTTTTCGGTTTCGTGCGTGTTTTTTTTGCTCGATGGTCCAGGATGGTCCTCGATGGTCCTCGCCGAGGACAAAAATGCACACGTCCGAACGATGCCAGGCCTCCTGCCAGGCGAGGACGCGAAGAGGAAGCGGGCGCGAGGGCGCGGCGCAGACGTGGGCTCCAGGGCCGAGGGTGCCGATGCGGCTGCCGAGCCCCCCGCTCGGCAGCATGCAACACGACCATGCCGACTGCAGTCGGACTTGATTGGAGAGGACACGCGAGAGGACACAAGAGCCTTCCGAGGGCAACATTGCCACAGGAATGTCGGAGGCATGGGTCGCAAGACACAGGACACGAGGGTACCCTTGATCTGGCAAGGTCGACCTACTAATCTGGGCCGCCTGTACGGACGACCCGTATCATATGGATGTACGATAAGGATGCAAGGGTCTTGGAAAGCCTTGTCCACGTTTCGCGGGCGGGGTGCGGCCAGCGAAAGTGGCCAAGGATGGGCCGAGAAGGCAAGGATGCTGGGATAGCCTTGGGGAGGTTGCCCATCCCTTACCATGCGGGCTGTCTGTACCCCTGGTCCGAAATCTGGACCGACAAACATTGGAGAGCCTCATCCCGTGCGCCCTGTGCATGCCCAGTCCTTCAAGGCTGCTCGCGTGGTTTCGCTGTCGTAGCCGAACGCCTGCAGCTCTGCCAATATTGAAAAGAGGGGCTTCAGCAGGCTCATGCCCGCGCTTGCCACGTTCAGAGCCCCGAGGCTGGCAGCCTGCGCAGTCCCCAGCTCCTGATAGCATGGCGGTTCTATAAAAGGGGGCCTTCCACAAGACCATGGAGGACTACGTGGGGCTTTTCATGGAGAGGAGGAAGAGGAGGAGGGATCTTACACCCACTCCTCCCACAGTATCTGTTCTAGCTGATCCCGATGTTGGTTTCACTCGCTCTGCTGACAGCTGACAGTATGCCCCGCGGGTGAGTCATTGAAGAGCGAATGTCTTGCTGTATCCCCGTTTACTATGCCCCTCCTCCTGCAATGAGCTATCCCACGAGCTGTGCACAGGGCACGCTGATTCGCAGGACTCCTTAGGGGGAATAGCTGGAGGGCTCGTGCCGATATGTCTGTTGCGCCAGGAGTCACCTGCCATTGGACTGGTGTGGTCGTGGCTGACTGGCTCGGGAGGATTATGTACACGAGCCCTCCGCCATACAATGGAGGCCAGTCCACACAGAACCTCCCACAAGAAACCCAACCCTGAGACCCCAAGACGTCCATGGATTTCTGGGGTGGGAACGTCACGCTTTCCGTAGCAAAACCATCGAAACCCAAGAAACATATGGCACCCTGGAGGCAAGCAGGGTGTTTCTTGGCATGAGTCTCCACTGTTCGCATTCCGATGTGAAATTGACTCCTCGTCATATTTTCGAGACGCGGTCAGCAGAAATCCCGACCCTCTCTCCAAGACCAGCTTTCCATCTCGAGTCCTTGTTCGACCGTCCCGCGGCCAAGGGGAGGGCCCCCCCGAGGCCAAAAAGCGACCAAGACCCCCAGTCGCGGTTTGATGTCTGGTTCGACGCGAGCACGTCTTGGAAGACTGCTCCCGCCAGCTCGCCCTTCCTGACTTCTCGCACGCACGCGCCCCGGAGGGGCTGAAGGGCCAGACGTCGAGAATGAAGGGCCCCCTGCGGGCTCTTCGCAATCACGTCATGTCTCGGAGCACCCGCAACTAGAGCGCCCCGGCACCTTCGCACTGTGTGCTGTCGGGGCACCGACCGACGAGGAAGAAGGACGGAGGGGGGTGGGAGAGGTGAGGGATAAGGTGGGGGAGGAGACGGGGGAGGGGGAAAGAGGCGACCCACGAGCTTCGAGCTTCGAGGGGCTTCGAGGGGCTTCGAGCTCCGAGGTTCTCGCATGCGTCCGTCGGTTTTCGTCGGCTTTCCAGCCTCGGGGTGCCTTCCAGCGGCTGCGCCTCGCCGAGAAGGTTCGCGGGGGGGTCCCGCATCGTCCGGAAAGGCCGCCAGAGAGCCGAGCTATGACCCGAAAGTCCGGCGGGCAACGAGATGGGGAGGATGGACTCAAGGGTTCTGGGCTTAGGTCGGGCATGTCCTCCTACAGGCGGATTTTGGAAGACATCAAAAATAGTCGGACAAAAATCAGCAATAGTCAAAAGAGTACGAACAGTCGTCCGCAGACTATTGTTTGACGATTCTTGCTCCTGTGAAGGGACATGCCCGACTTAATTCCGGGCCGAGGCCCACGAGGAGGATGCCCAGAACCTACGGGCTCCGATAGCAAGGGCCTCTCCTGGGCGTGCAGTCCAACCTCCCCCTATAGGGAAGCAAGAGACGGCATAAACATACACTTTCTGTCTGGTGTTGCCAGAAGTACCTCCGCGGCCTCCAGAGCACCCCTCACGAGGCCAAGATGGCTCCAGGGGCTGCAACTTCGAGCGAAAAACTAGGGGCACCGTAAGCCAGGGGCACCTTCAGGAACCCCCGATTCTGGGCTCCGCGCGGATTTCCTGGGTCGGCGCCGGAGGCGCCGCCAGGGAGGCCCAGCGCAGATCCAAGAAATCTGCGCGGAGCTCCGACTAATTATGTGTATGACGATTTGTCTTCTTCGATCCGTCCCTCTTTCGGCGACTCCGGAGGGTGTGGCTTGCAAAAGGTGTGGACTGCAAATTGCAGCCCGTGCCCCAGGGGGCAGGCGAGGGCCTCGGAAGAGTTTTTGTTATGCCTCGACGAGGGACCATCGAGCCTTTGGCGCAATGTAGTGCCTCCTCCTCCTCCTCCTCTTCCTCCTCCTCCACGGCGCATCGGGGATCTACTGACCCGTGTCAATCCAGACCCGGGTCAGTCAGGCGTTGCAGGATCCGGCCGAATCCTGCAGGACCCTGCACCCAAGCCCGGGTCAATGTACCCTTGGCTCTGCAGGATGCTGCAAGATCCGGCGCACTGACCGACCCCCGATTGCATTGACCCCCGTCTCTTGAGCCCCTGCGGCGCAGATCACAAACCACACCCCGGCGTAACCGCACCCACTGTGGTCGCCGACTCTTCCTTGCGCGTGGGGGGCATCGCGCTGCGCCAGAGGCTCGATGGTGCCTCGTCGAGGCGTGGAGGGAAAACATTGACTGATAATTGTTTGTATCGATAAAGTCCTCCTAAGTCCTAGATGGGGTCGGAGTAGGTGGGGTCGAAGGATCGCGCCGCATCGCCGATGTATCGGCGACGCCAGCGTAACAGTACTTATTGTGGTCGCCGACGCTTCCCAAAACGACCCTCGGGGGGCGCGCGTCCGAAGTGCCCACGAGCCTGCTCTTTCCAGCAGCGAGGGGGCGGCGGCAGGCCGAGGCAGGACACAGACAGAGGCAGCGGCGGGCGTCCCTTCCCCTCCGCCTTCTCCACCTCCTCCTCCTCCTCCTCCTCCTCCTCCTCCTCCTCCTCCTCCTCCTCCTCCCCCTCCCCTCCCCCTCCCCCTCCCCCTCCCCTCCCCCTCCTCCTCCTCCTCCTCCTCCTCCTCCTCCTCCTCTCCTCCTCCTCCTCCCCTCCTCCTCCTCCTCCTCCTCCTCCTCCTCCTCCCCTCCCTGGTTCCTCGTCGAGGCGTGGAGGGAAAACATTGACTGACCCCCCTCCCGGTTGAGCCCCGTCCGGCTGAGCACCGATCCTTGGCGCCCAGCCCCCCCGCCGGCGCCCCCGCGCGCTCCGCGCCCCGCGCGGCGAGCCCGCTCCGCGGCGGCTGCCCTGGGGCGCACGCCGCGCGCGGCGGCGCGCGGCCGCCTGCGGCGCCCGCGAAGGCCCGGCCCGGCGGCCCCGGGGCGCAGGCCGCGCCGCAGGCGCCCGCGAGCGCCGCCCAGACGGCCGCCTTCATCAGCGCAGGAGGAGGCAGGAGGAGGAGGCATGAGGAGGAGGCAGGAGGAGGAGGCAGGAGGAGGAGGCAGGAGGAGGAGGCAGGAGGAAGAGTGAGGAGCTCGTCTGGGTGCGCGTGGCCCCCGACTCCGCTGGGCCTCCCAGGAGCCCACGAGAATGGCGACGGGTGCGCAGTTCGCAGCCGCCTGGAGGGCAGCGAGGTCTCGTCTGGGCGCGCGTGGCCCCCGACTCCGCTGGAGATTCGGTCTCTTTACAACCCAGGCGTCACTTTGCAACCGAGATCGGTCACTTTAAGGATCGGATTTTACGGTTTTCCTTTGAGAGCGACGACTTTACAACCAGAACGGCCCACTGTACAACCCAGGCGGATCTCTTTACAACCAGCACAGCCACTGTACAACCAGCCTTCAGAAGCGCGTGAGAGCTCTGCAAGAACTTCTGGGGATTCATCGCGCCTGAACGCTCGGAAGAGGCTTATGAGCGCCTGCAGAAGCTTCTGAACGCCTGCGCGGCGACCAGGGCCGATCGCAACCACTTGGGGCCGATCGCAACTACTTGGCGCGGATTCCAACCAGTTGTGATCGGCCCGATGAGGTTGGGATGGTGTGGGTTCGTTTTCACATTGTTTTGATATGCAGAGACTCTCCAAGAAAGCTTCTGGGATGAGGTGGTTGCCTTAGGCTCGGGCCGATCGCCGACCACGAGCAATAGTGGTAGTAGTCGTCGTCGTCGTCGTCGTCGCCGTAGTAGTAGTCGTAGTCGTAGTCGTAGTCGTAGTAGTAGTAGTAGTAGTAGTAGTAGTAGTAGTAGTAGCAGTAGTAGTAGTAGGAGGAGGAGGAGGAGGTGGAAGAGGAGTAGTAGTAGTAGTAGTAGTAGTAGTAGTAGTAGTAGTAGTGGTAGTGGTAGTATTATTATTGGTCGTAGTAGTAGTAGTAGTAGTAGTAGTAGT